TTGATGTAGTCCCACCTCCACCTTGAAGTCTTCTGTCCTCCCAACAGCACACCTCACTACTGTTGTACTATTCTCATACATGTCCTGCACCAAACTAACATACTTCTCTGCCACTCCTGACTTCCTCATACAAAACCACAATTCCTCCCTTGGCACTTTGTCATATGCCTTTTCTAAATCTACAAATACACAATGTAGCTCCTTTTGACCTTCCCTGTACTTCTCCATCAGCATCCTCAAGGCAAATATTGCATCTGTTGTACTCTTCCTAGGCATGAAACCATACTGTTGTTCACTAATCACCACTTCCTGCCTCAACCTAGCTTCAACTACTCTTTCCTAAATCCTCATTGTATGATTCATCCACTTTATCCCTCTGTAGTTGTTACAACTCTGTACATCACCCTTCTTATAAATTGGCACCAGGACACTTTTCCTCCACTCATCAGGCATCTTGTCAGTCTCTTAAATTCTAGTCAGGAAATCTACCGTCACTTCTCCTAAACACTTCCATACTTCCACTGGTATGTCATCAGGACCAACTGACTTTCCACTCTTCATCCTCTTCAGGGCTTTTCTTACTTCATCCTTTCTAATCTGATCTACCTTCTTCCTAATAGTCTCTGGTTCCTCATTTCTACTTTCCCTTTCATTTTCCTCATTCAACAACTCCTCAAAGTATTCCTTCCATCTTCTCAGCACACTTTCCTCACTTGTGATTACATTCCCATCTCGGTCCTTAATCAACCGCCTTTTTTTCACCTCCATCGTCATCTTGCACACTACCATCACATGTTGTTTGGCTACACTCTCGCCTGCCACCACCTTACTGTCATTAATCTCCCTCAGATTACATCTTCTACATAGAATATAATCCATCTGTGTGGACCTGCCTCCACTCTTGTACGTCACCCTGTGCTCCTCTTTCTTTTGGAAATAGGTGTTTACCACAGCCATTTCCATTCTCTTTGTGAAATCTACCACTGCCTGTTCTTCCAAGTTTCTCTCCCTAACACCAGACCTACCTATCACTTCCTCATCTCCACTGGTCCCTTCCCCTACATGACCATTAAGGTCTGCTCCAATCACCACTCTCTCTCTCCCCTGGGGATACTCTCTACCATCCAATCCAAGTCAGTCCAGAACTTCTCCTTTTCTTCTAACTCACAGCCCATCTGTGGGGCATAACCACTGACAACATTTATCATCACTCCTTCTATTTCTACCTTCACACACATCAACCTGTCTGACTCTTGTTTCTCCTCCACCACATTTCTTACATATTCTTCCTTTAGGATCAGTCCTCCTCCATTTCTCTTCCCATCTGAACCAGGATGAAACAGTTTGTAGCCTCCTCCAATGTTTCTTGCTGCCCTTCCACCTGGTCTCCTGCACACACAAAATGTCTACTCTTCTTCTCTCCATCATATCAGCTAGTTCTCTACTTTTCCCTGTAATTGTACCTACATTCCAAACTTCAGACCAACACTTCTATTTTTCCTCTTTTCTCTTTTTGTCTGAATCAATTGCCCTCTTCTTCTTCTTTGTCTCTGACCAACAGTAGTCCAATTTCCACCAGTACCCTGTTGGTCAACGGCACTGTTGGCGTTCGTTGTTAACCCGGGCCTCGACCGATCTGGTATGGAAATCGTTTTAGTGATTCGCATATTTGATTTGGCTAAAAGTTTTACGCCAGATGCCTTTCATGACGCAACCCTCACCATTTATCGGGGCTTGGGACCGACACTATAAAACACTGATTCCTGTACCCTAGTGGCTGGCTTTGATTGCTTAAAAAGTGAACCTGCAAAACAGGCTACATGAGGTCAATGTGTTTTAATGCATGTTACAGTTGATCTTTAACTATATTAATCCACTGTTCAACTATGCTGATGCAAAAAAATCACAGTGGCAGCTGGTCTTTAATACTCATTAATCTGATGCAGGTTTTTAGTTTCAGACTCACCATAAATGACAGAGTGAGGTCTGGCATGCCGGTCAGTTTTACACAGGCATCAATCACCCCCTGGATTTCTGCTGTGATTGTGGATCCTGATGAAAAAAACAACACATACACACAGAAGAATTTAAAAGATTGTAAACACTGACATGAAAGTTGGGACATGAGTCCCAACAGTCTTAAGGTAACTGTTATAATTCAGTGCAAAGTCGTGCCTGATTTGTCAATGATGGCATCAATCTCCTCCACTACATCAAAATAGGCTTCATTGTTGGTGTATTTAACCCCTGTGCGACGCCATGGCACAACTGATAACTGGCCAGTGGGAAGCTGCTCACCCACATTGGTGCTGCCTGCAAAAAAGTAATAATAATGGAGTAGTTTAGAATATAGTATGTAACCTAAAACACAACATGCAATGTTGTAGTGACCTGAACCTTGTACATTAACTTAGTCTGTCAAATTATTCTTTTCTATGCTGCTGGTAAAGTGTTAAATAAAACTGTGAGCAACATTGCTACATTCCTCTTGCCTAGTTTAGCTTGTTTACCAACAGTCTGTCAACACTGTCTTTTTTCACTGATGGGTAACAAGACATCTAAAGTCAAGCTTTTCTTAAAGGCCCCTCTGTTGGAGGACACAGTAACTACATATGACTAGCAATGTTTAAGTTTCAAATAAAACAGGATAGTTCTAACATCCTCTCACAGTTGACATTTGTTAACCTGGGTTGTACCTGTGATGGTGTTGACCATTGTTCGAAGGATTGTTGGGGGTTTAATAAGCTCTTTGAGGATGTTGGATTCTGTGGCCAGCGGAAAGCCATTGTCCAGCATCTCCTCCAGCAGCTCATAGACCACCACCACATTGTCTTTGATGGCAGCTTCTGTACACACTCCAAAATAGTCCTGAGATCACAGACAATGTTGAGTCAGACTGAGTCATAAAAACATTAAGCCACTGGACAAAAATTATGTTAGATCATAACCTGGAATGTGTCAACAACTCTGTGCAGGAACTCGATGACAAAGAGTGGCGGCACCTCACTCTGGATGACTGCCACAAAGAAGATGCGATGCCTGAGCACGCTGATCAGGTAGTGATGTGGTGTGGGGATCACAGGTGGAACATTCTCTGGTTCTGTGGCCCGTTCCTGTGCCTCAAAGAAGTAGTCGCACACTGAGCGACTGACTACACTCTTCCAGTGCTTTTCCAGGAATATGTCTCCTGAGGCGTTTATTAGGAAGAGACTATGGATCATTTTGGCTGAAAGCTAAAAAGTCCGACATAAGAAAATGGAAAAGGAGAGAATAATTGAACATGTGGTTATTCATTTTGATCTGTAGCCTGTACAACAAAAGCATTAAATGGCAATTTAGTTATTTAAAAGTCAGCTCTAGATCACCCTGTTTAACCAACAGAGAAACTACAGTACCATTAAAATACAGGAATACGTGTGATTCATGAGTTAAGTAAAACGCTAGAGAACTTCCAATTGCTTAAATGTAATACTACCAGTGATAAACCTTTGCAAACAGTAGTGAAAATATAGAAAGCACACACAAAGTAGAGAAAACACACACTCTTGCAGGTATTAAAAAAACATTTGAAAATGAAAAAAGATAAGTTAAGAAATATACTTGGATGTTGGGTTTATTTCCTAGAATGGACTGCTGCATAAACTATCTTTCAATTTAAACTTACAGAGGCTGCTACAGAAACACGACACCAGAATATTAATTAAACATGTAGCGCAGCTATCAGGTGTGGAGGGACCTGAGGACGACACAACTGAAAGAGACGTTTAATTATAGGCAGGTTGGAACATAAAACAATGTAATTGGTCACTATGGCATTGGTCAAAGGCCTTTATCTCCATCACAAGATGCTCCATGGGTCCCTCCTCCTCGGTCTCATGACAGGGTAACACCCCAGTCCCACCGTTTCAAAAGATGGAATTGCGTCAAAATTTCAGTGTGAGAAATGAACAGTTCATCTTAAGACTTATTTGTAAATGTCAACTGACTTACCAAAGATACGTTTATTCCCGTCTGGTGTCGTATTTCTCCTTCTTTTCCGTTCAATGAACCACTGAGCAGCTAGCGTCGCTTCAGTTTGGGAAGCGGATCCTGATGATAGAGGTTTACAGAACACCAATCAGAAACCAAGATCAAAATGTATCTCCTGCCCTGAGAAGTTATTGGTCAGAAATACGACAAACGAAGACTAGTAATACGACTTTGATTGGACTCTGCAGAGAAAAGGGTGGTAAGCAGCCAATAATCTGGCCACTGATTGGCTGAGGCGAGGAGCTGGTCTGACATTTTGTTCAAGGATCCGATTTCATCTTGTGTTGTTTTCCTGCAACATTTAGGATATTTCATGAAGTCTTTTCATACATAAACAATACTATATCTACGATTTAGTCCAGATTAATTGCAATTTGACATGCTATTGATGCTTCTTAAATGTGTAATCACACGACCGTAGTCGTTTTTTGTTTTTTGTAAATAGTTGACATTTTTGAGTGGACATGCTGTATTATTTCCTTTTAAATGTTACGTCAACGCGTGCAGTTTTAGATAAAGTTTTGTATATCGGGTAATGGTGTTTTTATATACAATTTCATTTTTTAAATATATTTACAAATTAATGTTCGTAATCATGAAGCAATACTTTCACTTGTAGTTTAGTCTGTTAAAGTCTTACACCGTTGTCATCATCTTTAGAAAACCTACAATAAGTACACTACCAAAACACTGCTAGAAATATTAACATTTGAGGTTTTTGAAATCATAGTAAGAGTGAATTACAGTTACTGCAATTAGTTTTCATGATATTTACAGTTTGCAGTCTTTCCGCTTTTATCTCTTGGTCTTCCCCACACAAACACCTTTTAATACAAATCATCTTTATTTGGTGGGACGACTTTTTTTTTTTTGTTTAAAAAGTATAACAATAGGCGTTATGTTTAATACTTAAAAAAAGAAGAATACTATTTAAAAAGGCAAAAAAGGGTGCTTTTCTGTTCTCGCGAGATCTGGCAATATTGTCACACACCGCCCTCTCCTGCAACCTCAGCTGTTGGGGATCTTGTAGGGTCGAATACAGCCGAGTATCTTTATTTACGTTTGGTTGTACATCAGTGCAGGAGGGAATTGTTTTTATCAATGTGCCTTGTTTAGTAGATACACGATTTCTACAGTTTTTAGAGGGCTTGTGAGCACTCCACAGCTCTTGGCTAATGGCGGAAGATGTGGTCAGTGGCTTTGGGGTAACTATGGCGGAGTACGACTACCAAGCGAGGTCAGAGTTGGACCTCCGCCGCCGTAGGATGCTGGTCTGTGCGGGACTAAAACACGACGTAGGGCCTCTTAAAGCAGGTTAGTGCCAGCTCGCACGAACTGATTTTTTCTCATTTATTTTAATTAAAGACTGTCCAACACAATGGACAGAACTAGCTGTTGCCTACAGTAAACTGCCGGGAAAAGACCGGAAGATAGCTGTTTGTTTCGGAAGTTCAGTCGTATGGATTCAACTAGCGAAACAAATTTCAATTTAAAAGTCCAATTAACATTTACCTGTACTTTAAATTTAATTACAACGTTTACAAAATAACGGATTTGATCATTGTTTGCAAAATTCTGCGAATTTTTGTACTTTGTGTAGATTTTTCATTTAGCAATGGGAACCATTGGCTTAATAGGAATATTGGAAAAAGTGTACTAATGATAAAAGGTAAGACATAGGTCATGCTCAGACCTGAACCATATTCTATTACATATGTGGAGCAAGAGTCTTTACAGAAACTTAAATAATTTAGCCAAAATTTGGATGTGTGACATGTATATTAATTAAACTCTGTTTTATTTAACACACTCTCATCTGCTGCAGAAAACCAGCAACCATTAATGTTTAAAAATGAGAATCTAATACCTGCTGTCGTCCCAGAGGAGTCACAGAATCCTCAGATAAAGGAGGAAGAGGAAGAGCTGTGCATTCAAGAAAACATGGATGGTGTCATTGCTGTCACTGTTAAGAAAGAGGAAGTTGAGGAGAATCATAAGCTTTCACATAGTTATCAGTGTCACACTGTGGGGAACAGACAAGAGTGTGGTGGACCACCACAAAGACGTTTGATGATGAAAAAAAAGAAAAAACTCTCCAGTCAGCCAAGAGGTAAGTTTGAATCACAGTCTGAAGACATGTAATTACACTCAAACAGTAAGAATGCATTTGATTGTTTTGTCTACAGTAAATTAATTATCTGTATGACACTGTAAGGAAACATAACAACATGAACATTTCTTACATGCAATCATGTACAACAAACCAAAGCCCAATGATTACTTTCATGGAAAGGTAAAGTTATGACAGCAGATTAGTTGATTGTTATTTTTAACAATGCTGTCTAAATCTCCTAAAAAAAGGTTATCTTCGTGTAATAGAACCACATTTTAATGTGTATCAAGGGCATAGTTTTCTCTAAATATTCTGTTTTTTATCTTCTACAGAAGAACAGAAACTGTTGGTGAATGAAGAAGCGGCACCAAGCACCAATCTAAGCCAAGAGAAGCCAGAATATCCTCTCATCAACAAGGAAGATGGAAAACTGTGTATGAAACAGAAAGTAGCTGATATTGTTGCAGTGATTGTAAAGACAGAAGAAGTTGAGGGGAGACCTGTGCCTCAACACCTTCATTTGAGTGATACTGTGGACAACAGAGTGCGTAGTGCAATACCAGGACAAGCAGCAAACTCAAGTCCAAATGAACAAGTTGGACAATTTCTTGAAGATGAGAGTGCTAATTCTTCAGAGACTGAAGACAGTGCAGATGAGTGGCACGAGTCCAATGAGCCTCAAAGTTTAAAGACTTTAATAAATACAACACTCTCTAATAACAATGTTAGCATTGTAGAGGACTGCAGTTGTTCATTTTGTGGTAAAAGATTTACCAAAAAAAGTAGCATGAAGAGACATGAGAAACTTCATACAGGAGAGAAACCATTTAGTTGTTTAGTATGCGGTAAAAAATTTATCCGTGAGTATGAAATGAGGGCACATGAAAAAATTCATACAGGTGAAAAACCATTTAGTTGTTCTAAGTGTGGAAAGAAATTCATCAAAAATAGTGATCTAAAAAGACATGAGAAAAATCACACAGGGGAGAAGCCATTTAGTTGCCCTGAGTGTGAAAAGAAATTTGTCTATGAGTATGAAATGAAGACCCATGAAAAGATTCATACTGGTGAAAAACCATTTATTTGTTTACAGTGTGGTAAAAGTTTTAGTGAAAAGAAAAGACTGAAGTCACATGAAAAGAAGCATTCAGGAGAGAAACCATTTAATTGCTCAGAATGTGGTAAACGCTTTGTACAGAAGAGTGACCTAACAAGACATGAGAAAATCCACAAGGGAGAGAAGCCATTTAGCTGCTCTGAGTGTGGTAAAAGATTTTTTTATGAGTGTGAAATGAGGTCACATGAGAAAATCCATACAGGGGAGAAATCATTTATTTGCCCCGAGTGTGGCATGAGATTTACTGAGAAGAAAAGATTGAGGTCACATGAAAAGGTACATACAGGAGTAAAACCATTTAGTTGCTCTGACTGCGGTAGAAAATTCACCAGAGGTAGTAGTTTAAGGAGACATGAAAAAATGCATACAATACAAACACCAGTTAGTTGATTTTAGTGTGGTCAAACATATAATCCCAGAAAGAGACAATTTTATTCCTCTGACTGTAGGAAAAAGTTTAAAATGACATTTTGGGGACATGAAAAAAATCATAACAGCACAAATAAACCATGATTTCCATGGTTAGCATGCGCTTGTGTTCCAATCCACAATCTCTTTATTTGGGATAAATGTACATTGGTACCTTAATAAACTACAATTGTACAAAACCATAAAACATTGGACCAAAACTGACCTGTTGCTTTAATGTCTTATTACTTGGTGTTTGTTGCGTTGTAAAGATAATAGCTGAAATAATTGTCCATAATAAACAGAAGTGATTTCTTGATGCATCAAAATCCTTACAAAATGAATTTGCGTTTATGAAAATTTGAAACCAGTTAACTCAGTGTATGGTGCCAAAACACCACGGGAACAAACTGAAACACCTGTCCTGTCTGGAACTATGGTCAAAGAAAGAGTTGCAATGTATAAATATCTCTAAAATATTTTATAACAAATAATGAAATAAAAAAAAATAGAGTTTAATGTTTATTATATTAAGTTAATAAACAATCTTTTGGTGATATTGATATATTAATAAATGTAATTATAGTTTAAAATATTATTAATGATTGTTAATGACATTAAATATTAAGTTAATATTGATTTAAACAAAAAATGCGGATGTGCAGTTGATGCTGTAGTCCACTGACTGTTCCCGCTGCTGCTACTTATCTGACCTGTAGGTGGCAGATGTTGCTACTAGAGAAGGGTGTGACGTCAACGGTCATCTGTGATTACGTGTTCGCTTTTAGACTAGCAGCACTTATAGTAGCACTGGCATTAGCTGTAGTAGTGAGCTTGGTAAACTGCACTTCGCCACAGCAGCGCTTCCGTTGTGTATATACAGAGAAAAATGGGGGAGACGCCATTGACTGACACTGTTCGACGTTAATTGTGGTAAGTTAAAGACGGCTTCACAAACGAGGCAATATTAACATCTGGCAGCTAACAACAGCGTTCACTTACATTGTTGTGGCTAAAGAAGTTAGCCGGCTAGCTGTCTGTAAAAACAGCCAGTCCAAGGGAACGAACCTTAACTAATGGCGTCAACGCTGCCGAGGCAAAGCAAGCTACCACTTTTGTTTGTTTTTTTAATTTATAGAATTGTGCCAGTTCTTAATGTATGTTGCTGGACCATCATTGAAGACAAGACATAAAAACAGAAATGTGTACAAACTCTGGTGAAGCAGTCATTTTTGATGGTTCATATATACTGTATATACAGTATATTATACTCAACAAGCCCAAAATCTCGACTGCAAAAATTGGAGTGGGCAAGAAGATATTTGAATCGGATACTGTTTTATACAGTTATACACATTTCTTATATCTTCTCAGCATAAGAATATGTCACGAGTTTATTTCAGAAGAGCACTATTGACAAATTATGGTAAGCTAGTGAAAACAATAGGGGGACATGGTGTATTAGTATTTTGTTGTGAAATACATGGGGTACTAACAGAAATGATGGATCTTCTGTCTGTCATTATTAGACATAGTGTACAAAAAATTATTTTACCCAACATTCTTTTAGAATTATGTTTAACTCGAAATGTGCTTTGATTTAAAAATATGCATCCTTACCGCACTGTGATCCATTGACAGAATAGTTCTAGGATGGATGCCAATAACGTCAGAAAATACCCTGTCATTGAGAAAAATACAGCCTTTTTCATTCTACAGATATACATAACAGTCTTCTTTTCCCTCTGTAGGTGTAACAGCATGGACTTGCCAGCACTGCAAATGTTGCAGCAGCACATCATTTGGACACTACTTGCTTACAGTCTTGAGGAGATGGACCCATAACCTCAATGCATTGTACCACGTGAAGTCACTCACATCACACACACTGCAGTTTGCACTAGGATAGAGGCCTTGACTGGGCTAGACATGTTTGCCAAGCTAAAGAAAAAGCTTGCTGAGGAAGCAGCCACGGCACCTCGCAGCGGCGTTCGTATTCCACGCACCATCAGCAAGGAATCCATCACCTCAGTAGGGGCAGACTCAGGCGATGACTTTGTGAGTGACACAGACAAAACTAATTAAAAACTAATTAACCCTGATGTCAATGTGTTTCCTCTAGATAATCTTCCAAATTTATGTTTTGCTTTTTTCTTAGATGTACAAAATCGGTGTGGTGTTATGCATGTGGAAATGGTTAAAATTGATATAGCTTGATACTTTACCTATATATTATACTTTGGCTACCTTATTCACAGAGAGAAGACTGTCACATTTGGACAGGAAAATGCCTCTGTGCTATATGTTTGTTCACTGTGATTTGCATTGGTAGAAATGAATTATATGAGCTTTTAGCTGAGATTCTAATGTTTCTGTCGAAATGACTCATGTCTACGCAGCCGTTAACAAAATGTTGTTACTATGATACTAGAGGGTGCGGTGTAAGAGGTAAACTTATGCATGTAGACTAATGAAAGTTATATGCCCTCCCTGGCTGTTATTCTTGAGTTGTTATAGATTACAACACACTTATAGTTCACCAGGTGTTTACAAAATAAAGCTTGTGTCCATTTAGAATTGTGCTGAATTAACAGCAGTGCACAGCTCTTTACACCGCCCTCCAGCAGTTGCAAACTAGTAATACCATACTGGGAGTGGTAGTTTGGCTGGCACTACTGATTGCAAATAGGAGTATTATAATCACTTGCGTTTCCAGGTCACTTAAAGTGTGGAATTGAAACTCCTTTTATCCAGGCACATTTCTAGATTTTGGCAGATTAAATATATTATTTAATATGAATCACACAGTTTAGCCCTAAAAAAAATTCATTTTTTTAAATTTATTTCCCCGAATCTCATCTCCTGAAATACTTATTAGTCCATTACAGATACAGAAGGCAGTAGCAGTATGTCTCAGGGAAAATCTCAACAATAAGAGGTAAGATGAGTGCAGTAGAAGAAGTAGCTGAGCTTGGAGAATTCTTGTGCGCAATAAATCAGTAAATGAATAAATAATATCAGTGTGTTTATGCCTCACTGTTGGTGCAGCATTATGAAGCTCATTCCAAAAAGGACACATAATGATTTGATACCAGCTCCAGGGCGTTATCATGGTGAACACAAAGCACATGAAGTCACTGTTAAAGCTCTACATGTCTCTGGTTTCATGTTTTTTGAAGGTTAACATTGAGGCCAATGAGCATGTTACAGGTGCATTAGTACCCACTCTGTGGCTTCATTAGAGTCTTTTTATTGCCTCTCCCTCTCCAGTATATTAGAGCTACGGGAATAGTCTCCTGGTTCTGCTTCTCTGTCAAATGTAAAAGTGTTCAATTTTAAATGTCAAAAACAAAATACAAATGCAAGTACAATAATAAAGAAAAATAGGTGAATCATTTAACAGGGTGTTCATGTTACTTTTTTTATACCTGAGGAAAAGTCATTAACAGCACGTGCGGAAAAAATCTCTCACCAAAGCTGCTCTTCAAACATGTAAAGATAATGTGTCTGATTTAGTTGTGCTGTGAAAATAGTTAAGTTTAGGTAGGCTGTGGATAAAGGGACATATGTATCAGTTTTCACTTTTTACATTCACACAGTTTTTAGTTCACCGGAGTGCTGTACATCTTTCAGGGAACTCTGACCCCTGGGGCAGCACATCTGTATTGGTTGCACTTTGATAAATTATTCAATGAAGCTGTTGTCTAGTTAAATTTCTACATTAATACAAATAATACAAAACATATGAATTAAAATCTATAACATATGGTTATAAAAATCCTTCTATTTGATCATTTCACTTTTCAAGTTAAAAAGACATTGTCATTATTTTATTGTGGCCACACCATGTAATACATGATCTATTATATCACGTAAACAGTGTTTGTGATCTTTGCAGTTAACTCAACTTTTTTATTGACAGACTCTCAGTACACTTACCTAAATGCTGTATTTTATTTAAGCTGATTGACCAAATACATGTAACAATGATGTATTTGTGTTACCACCACAACAACAAAGAAGTGTTGTCTCTATAATTGAAAACATCCAAGTTAAACCCCAGGCGCAGTAGGAAATAGCTGCAGAAGACAATCTGATTTTTAATGAGACTACTGCCAAGATAATTTTGACAAATATCTCACGCCTCAATCCCATGTTGCACTTGCTGCTGTTATCTGATTTTGGGCTTCTGCAAGGAACATTTTCACTTCTCAACAACAGACTGTGATAACGTGTTCCTGCTTTGGACTGTGATTAGTCCCAAACCTAAACAAATATTTCTTCTCTAATTAGAAACTTTTTTTATGGCAGTTCAGGCATCACTGAGAAGCTTTGACTGTAACAGAAAATCAGTTTACCTCCTGCTCTGTGTTGTATTTACGTTCTTTATGTGTTTCTTTTCTACCCTTCTTTTCTTTAGGCATCTGATGGCAGCAGCTCCAGGGACGACTTACCGGCTCAAATCCTAAGAAGAAATGATCAGATCCGGAAGTTGGAAGCCAAGTTGTCAGGTATGAAACATCCAACTGAAGCTGCTGTCAGACAAAAAAAAGTCAATAAGTAATTTCAGATATTTCAGCTGTTCATGTCAACTCTGTCGTGTGTGTTCTGCTAAATGAAAACTAAATGAAAATGAATTTAAAAATAAAGGCAGTTAGTCGGGAATATGGACAACAAATGCTTTGTAAATTATAATACAGTTAAAAGGGGAATCTTAATCAAAAAGCCACTACGGAAGGTTGTATGAGTGTACACTATGTGGTGTCACAGGCAGTGAATGTGAAAAATCCATTTCAACATATGAAAGAAAAATATGTGCCAGTCACACCCTGTGAATAACTTTTAACACTTCACACAAAATAGGAATCAACTTTATGCTTGAAACAATGAGAGTATAGTGATGCTCTGTCTCTCAGCTGCTGCTGCACTCCTTCCCAAAGCAGCAGGTGTTGTCAGTTAGAAAACCAGTTTGAAGTTAATTAAATTCAGTAGTGGCATTACTTTCTTTTACATTTCAAAGTTAAAAAAATTTGGGTGCCAGTAATGGTCCACTTAATGTGGAAAAACCACCTTAAACAGCTTTAAACATTCGTACACACTTTTGCCAAACTTTAAAATATGGACTTAAAAAAACTTACTACAAATTACTACAAATTTATAGAATTTACATTATAAAATCATATAATTAATCAAGTAAAATCTTGCTTTTCCCCTTAGAAAATTGTTCTTTCCTCTGGCACATTACATATAAATGATCATCATATCAATATGGCCTTATGATATTATCATTAACTGCTTTTTGTACAGTGTTTTCTTTTTGTTTGTTATTGTGTCTGTCTGGTTGAGAAGTTTGTCGACTCAGTTTGGCCTTGAAAATGTAGTCGAGGATTAAAACTTCCTGTACTACTGAATGTGATCAAACTGCTGCGGAATAATGACCTGCGATGAAAAGAAAGAATTACGAGTTGTGACGAAAGGTTAAAGGTCCAACATTCTCAACAAAGCCTATGATCCAGTCTCTTTTGTTTAAAAATCATGTGGTATTTTTTTTTAAACTTTCCATTATTTCTCAATCATAATTTCCCGTTTGTTCCCCCCTCTCCTTTTGTTCACTGTTTGTCTATTGTCACCTACTTCGTCTTGCTGGTGTTGTGTGTATGATGTGTTTGTACGTGCGTGTATTGTAAAACCCCCATCCCATTGGCCCACCTCCCCCACACTGTAGACTACGCTGAGCAGCTACGAATTATGCAGAAGACCAAGGAGAAGCTTGAAATTGCATTAGAAAATCATCAGGATTGTACGTACCTACTCTCTACTCTCCTCCCAAACTACTTCCTCTCTAACGTGTCTGTTTCCTGTAACAGTCATGTCATTTCCCAGCGCATCCTCACTTCTTCCTTCTGCTTAGAACGCTCTGTTTTTCTGGACGCTCTTTAGGTTCATTTACAGATGCACTGTCTGGCATTTTGTTGGTGCAAAGCTTTGTTTTCCGCAGTGGAGGCTTTTTTCCTCAGGGTGAAGTGCACCATTTATGTAGTTGGACGAGGAGTGTAAATGATCGGCATTAAATCTTACATTGTTTTTATTTGGGTTTGTTTTTTCGTTTAGTTCTGATATTTCCCTTTGGTGTCGCTCTCTTCAGACTACCATAATGAAATTATTCATTGGTCCCATTATCTTTTCACAAGACAATGGGACCAAAGGAAGGCAAACCTCTTGAAATTGAGTTTATTTCATTATATGTGAGTCCTGACGCTTTTTCCTCGCCCTTGACTTTATAGATATACTCAAGTTTTTGGATGTAAAAGACAAATATTTACCCTTCACTTCTCTAATTTTTCTCTATTGTCTTTCATCTACATGGTGCATTAAATAGTCAGAAACACTCTCATTTTAAACACTCGATACTGAAAAACACAAAGACACGACAAAACTTTTATACAGTCTTTTTTGGACAATCATTTATGGCAAATGGGAGACTGTTGTAAACCAGAGGTTGCTTGATCCAGTATTTTGGGTCTATTTCAGTTTGATATTGATCAAAATTTCATAACATAAAAAAAAAAAACTATTGATCTGATACATAAGCCCAAATGCTCGACCTAACTTTGTGTGATATGCCGTAAGGGACGCTATCACCTCAACAACGGCAGCCTGTGGCATGCTGGAGAAGAAAAGACGGTATCGGATTAATATAAGCATCAGTAGATTCTTTTTTTAACTTGTTATTGCAGAGATTTAAGCCTTGTTGTTGTCTTTAAAACAAAGAGCAGTTAATCTTTTTTTTCCATGCACTGCTTCCTGCCTTTGCTTCTAGTTCACAAGTTCACACACTTCTTCAGGAGACTCAGCTACTAACAGTATTACTCTCTGTGCTGTTTGTCATTTCTATAATTTTTTAACATTTTTGTTTTGATTAACCTTGTTTTCTCTGCTTTCCATGTTCCCATTCTCTCCTGTCATTTTCTTTCTCCTTTATGGCACAGCCTCCATAAAGAAACTTCAGGAACAGAATGAGTCTCACCAGGCCAGCACAGCCAAAATGGCAGAGGGAATGACTTTGGCTCTGGAAAAGAAGGATGAGGTGAGTGTGCGCGTATCAGTCAGTCATCAGGCACAATACAGATACCCAAACACTATTTTCTTTCTTTGTTTCTCTACTGCAGGAGTGGATGGAGAAGTTTGCTCTTGTGGAAAAGGTTAGTCTTTCCTATAGGCCTGGGTAACGATATACAATTGATTTAATATTGGAGTGATTGGTCTGTTTGTTTAGGAAAAAAATGAGCTGTCAACCAAACTACAGAACATGATGGAGCAAAGTGCTACACTCTTCCAGAAAAGGGACGACCTGGACGAACTAGAAGGTTTTAAGCAGCAGGAGCTGGCCAAAGTCAAACACATGGTGCATTAGAGTCTTTTAATTAAAGTCACAAAACAAATGCTGCCTCTCTTCTGCACTTCAACAAATGTTTTGTTTGTTAAGGTCTGACTTTGTGTTTGTTTGTTTTTTTTCTTTACTTAATGCCAGTTACTGAGGAAAGAAGATCAGCTGAATAAGCAGGAGCAGGAGTTGCAGCAGAAGGAAGCTGAAGTCAACTTGGCAAAGAGTGGACTGTCCGAGACCCAACGGAAACTCCGACTCCTGGAAGCAGAGCACAAGGAGAGCTGCAGACTCAACTCTGAATTTGAAATAGAGCGGTGAGGAGGCAGTGTTGTAATGATTTTTCAGAACGGTCAAACTTGTTTGTCAGTGAGAAATAATGTCGATCATTTGATTTGTGTAGCGAGGATCTCCTGCTTCTCAAAGAGAAGGCGGACAAGAAGGTTGGTGAGCTGGAAGGACATTGTCAGGAGCTCCAGTCTGTCATCCAGCAGGTGTCAGAAGACTTTCAGAAGGTAAGAATTTTAAAATCAGCGCTTGCAGCATGTTCAAAGCATTTTTCCAAAGTTAACTTAATTGAAAAATCAATGTGGGGAAATAACTTATTCTGTGTACACCGCTAATGACAGAGCTTAATAAATGTTTTTTTTTTAATTTTCAGTCACAGGGTATGGTGTCAGCTCTGGAGAAATCACTGGAGGATCTACAAACTGAACATGATGCGCTTAAGCTGCAACAGCAAAAGGTTAGACAATTGACCAAAACACTCAATTTACAAACAGTTCACATTACAAAAATATTGATAAATATTTGAACTTGTCCTGTCTGAAATGGTCAGGCTGCGGTGACAGAGGAGGAAAAGGAGCGCTCATTGGTGGAGCTTCAGACGAAAGTGACCTCACTAGAGAGACGACTTCAAGGCAACCTGAGTCAGGATGAACATCTACAAGAGCTTCTGAAGGAGGTAAAGAACATGTGAAATGGAAATACGTCTAGTTTAGTTTTTTCTAAATATTCAATTTTTATTAAGATTTTTACTTTTTAACATCCAATCTCAAAATGATTATAGGAAGATCATCAAAAAATGTGTTCTATCAGTGGTTGCAAATACTGTCTGACATAGAAGATGCATATTTTTTAATGTTTTCAAGTGTTTGAATAACAGCAGATAGATGGAAGTTTTGATGGAAATGCTACACACATTTTTAATGAAAACACTACACACTTCTATCAGCTCTTCCCTTTATTTTTTTTAGAAGTCCAGTCTGGAGCTGAGTCTGCATAAGACCCGGGCGGAGCTGCTGTCTGTTCGAACGAACCATGCTGATACAGTCAGCTCTCTGGAGGCACAGGTAACTAACCTCAATATTTAATTAATGAGGCAGATATTTAGATGGTTACTAAACTTTGGGTGAATAAAACAAGAGTGTCCTTATTGTTATTGATTCACACCTCATCTTATGGGTCTTTTGTGTAGATTTCTAAAATGAGTTGCAGCATCACTGAGCTGCAGACTCTCCTCCGTCATAAAGACGATTCGTCCAGAGCCTACAGAGAGAGAACAGATGCGCAGGTGAGCAGAAAGCAGTCATGACTTCTTAATTTTTAATGTCGCTCTTCATGAAGTTTGAGGATTTAAAGCAGTACAATTTAGACGACTGTTTTGTATAGTCAGTTCAGCTGCTGTTCTTTTTTTCTTTAGGTTGCTAATTTGGAGCAGCAAGTCCTGGAGTATGGTGAAAAACTAAAAAGTGCAGAGCACCAGGTGACAGACAAACAACAACACATGGATAAACTGGTTAGGACCATCAGTGCACTCAATTAAGACGTCTGTGTAGCAGCGATTTTAAACTGCAGTGTAAAGAGTGATAATTATGTGTTTTCTGTTCAGCAAGGAGATTGGACTACAGAAAAGGTCTTTCTGGATCAGCAAGTGTGTTTGTTACAGCAGCAGAGCAAGGAGAAGATCAGTCAGCTGGAGAAAAACATCCTTTCATTAGAAATGGAAAAAAAGACGCTGCAAGAGACTGTTGTGTGTATATCTCTTATCTTTGGCAAATTAAAAAAATCTTCAAATCTTGCGTTTGTATGACAAAAAAGTTTTTTTCTGCTGTTCTCTGTAGAGGCAGTTCTTAGATGTATTATATTTGTTTTATTTTGACAAATCCAAATCCCATGTACAGTATTTATACTACAATTTTAAACCTCTTGTAAGTAATGCATTTTTTCCTGTTGTATCTTGTCAGGTTGATTTGGAGAAGCAGAGGGGCGAGTTGAACAACACACTGATGCAGCGGACAGAGGAGCTACAACAGTGCAGGGTGATAATGTTATCATCAAACTGGGGACAATATCCATACTCAATAATTCTACATTCATGTCTGGGAACAGCATGTCACTTACCAAGGCCTCGGTGCTGCTGGTGTAGAGCTTAAAAAACCCTACTTTTGTCACATTCCACTTTTATTGTGTTTTTTCCCAGCTGGACCTAGAAAGTCGACAGATGGTGAGCACAGAAATCGCCAAAGCTCTGGAAGAAACCAGACGACAGAAGGAGGAGCTGCAGACACAGGTTTGCAGACATACACACAACCATCCATCCATCCATCTTCAACCACTTATCCGGGGCCGGGTCGCGGGGGCAACAGTCTGAGCAGGGACACCCAGACTTCCCTCTCCCTCGACACTTCCTCCAGCTCTTCTGGGGGGACCCCAAGGCGTATCCAGGCCAGCCGAGCGACGTTGTCGCTCCAGCGTGTCCTAGGTCTCTTCCCAGAGGGACGGCACCCGAGCACCTCCCGAAGGAGGCGTCAGGCGGCCATACGATGTAAATGCCCAAGCCACCTCAGCTGACTCCTCTCGATGTGGAGGAGCAGCGGCTCTACTTCGAGCTCCTCTCGTGTGACAGAGCTCCTCACCCTATCTCTGAGGGAGAGCTCTGCCACCCTGCGGAGAAAGCTCATTTCAGCCGCTTGAATCCTTGATCTCGTTCTTTCGGTCATGACCCACAACTCATGACCATAGGTGAGAGTAGGAACGTAGATTGGGAACAGCTGCTGAGTCCTCAGCTTCAGCTCCCCCCTCGGAAGACGTGTCATCGGGACTGAGGAGATCCTCGAAATATTCCTTCCACCTCCCGACGACATCCTCAGTCGAGGTCAACAGCCCCCCCCCCCTGCTGTAAACAGCAGTGGTGGGAAACTGCTTCTCTTTCCTGAGGCGCCGGATGGTTTGCCAGAATTTTTTCGAGTCCGACAGGTAGTCCTCCTCCATGGCCTTCCCGAACTTTTCCCAGACCCAGAGTTATTGCTTCCACGACTACCCGAGCCGCAGTCCGCTTGACCTGCCTGTACCGGTTGGCTGCCTCAGGAGTCCCACAAACCAACCAGGCTCGATAGGACTCCTTCTTAAGCTTACGACTTCTCTTACCTCCGGTGTCCACCAGAACATAGTCCACTCAGACTCGATGTCTCCAGCCTCCCTCGTAACCTGTTCAAAGCTCTCCCGGAGGTGGGAGTTGAAGGCCCCCCTCACCGGGATTCCACCAGACGTTCCCAACCGACCCTCACGATACGCTTGTGTCTGCCAGGTCTATCCAGCTTTGCCCCCTGTAAGCAGAACCAACTCACCACCAGGTGGTGATCAGTTGACAGCTCAGCCCCTCTCTTCACCCTAGTGTCCAATACATACGGCCGGATGTCAGATGACACAACTACAAAGTCGATCATTGACCTCCGGCCTAGGGTGTCCTGGTGCCAAGTGCACTGATGGACACCTTTATGTTTGAACATGGTGTTTGTTATGGACAAACTGTGACTAGCACAGAAGTCCAATAACAAAACACCACTCGGATTTAGATCGGGGAGGCCGTTCTTCCCAATCACGCCCCTCCAGGTGTCACTGTCGTTGCCCACGTGGGCGTTGAAGTCCCCCAACAGGACGATGGAACCACGTTAAGGTTGCGATTCAAGGATACACACAACACATAAGCAAAACACAAAGAGTTGACCTTTAGACTCAAAAATGCATAAAGGAAATTCATATAAAGACTTTTTAAAATGTGTGTGTGATGGTTACTTCTTTGGATACTGATAGGTTGAAGAGCAGGTCCTGTCCCTGAAAAGAACACAGCAGGACATGTCCACTGTCAGGGAGACACTGACTGCAAGAGAGGAAGATGTCAAAACTCTGCAGAATGGTACACACATGTTTAGACACTTTCCACTGCATCTCCTACAACTTTGTCTTAGACTTTAAATATGAAAATGCTGAATGGGTTTTTGTGTTGCAGAGGTACAAAGCCAACAGACTTCCCATGCCACGCTGCAGGAAGAGGTGGAGAAGTTGCAAGCTCAGTTAAAGCAAGTGGAGCTGGACAGAGACTCTCAGCTCAGCAGCCTAAAGGAGCAGCTGGTCAGCCAGACAGAGCAACTGGACAGCTCCCAGTCACGGGTCAGTCCAGACCACAAAACCTTTCCATTCAACCTTTAAATATATGGTCACACTAAAATTGAGGGGTTTGAAGAATGTTATTAACAACACAGCGATGACTCTTGCTCAGCTGTGGGCACAGTGTTATGTCAGACTGTTCTCAGGAAGATAGTACAGTTTGATCTTTGACCTTTAGCCACTGAGCAGCCTCTCAGGTATATGGTATAAAATTAATCTCACATGCGTCTTCATAATGTTTATAATATAATATGCTCTAATACCAATCAGGGACTGTTCACCCTGTTTAGCCCACATTCATGATTGAGTTTGACACTTCTGCTTTAAAAAGACTGAATAAGAAAATATGTTGCTGCTCTGCTGCTTCAATCTTGTGTGCAATAATATAAAATAATCTACATACTGCAACTGTTCTATTGCTGTTTTTTTTGGCATGTAATCTGTTCCTCTTTTCCCTTTGCTGGTAGATTATTGATTTTGTTTTATGAATCACAAGAACGCTCTAACAGTGGAAAACAAAAAATAGACAAACTGAATGTCTTCTTGTGTGTATAGATCCTGTTCCTGGAAGTGGAGGTGGAGACCCTGACAGAGCAGCTCCGCACCCCTGTGGTGTGTGAGGAGGATCAAAATGGCAGTGTGACGATGGATGATCTGGATCACATTCAGAATGTCAACAAAGATCTGGAGCAGCAGCTCAATGATAAGAACAAGGTCAGACAAACACTTCTCACGGAATGGTTTATTACTAGGTGAATAATAATGTATGAGTACACTGCAGTAACTCAATTATGCTTTTGTTTGTTTGCAGACCATTAGGCAACTGCAACAAAGACTGGCTGAACTAAAGAGGACTTTGCAGAAAGAACTGGTGAGATGACGGAAAACTTTATTAGAGTAAAGTGATGATTTTAGGAGATAACTGAATGCAGAGATTGTCTTGAATTTTTTTATTTGTCCTTCACTAACACCTGTTAAACAGCACAATGTATGAACATGTTATAAAACCCTAATACCAAAATCTGTTGTTTCACACCAGATGAATACTTCAAAACACAGGTATATAACACCTTTAGTTTCTCTGTGTACCACAGAAGTTAAAGCCCGAACCAGAGGCTGATGCGAAGGAGAAGTCGACAGAGAGCCGGGCAGAAAAACAAGAGAGGGCTTCTCCAGATCCCCCACAAGTGTCTGCCCCAAGCCCCCCGAGCTCAAACACCACCGTGACCAACAACTCAGACCTCAGCGACTCAAGGGAGATCAACTTTGAATATCTCAAACACGTAGTTCTCAAGTTCATGTCGTGTAGAGAGGCAGAGGTACGGTACATGTAATCTACATTTACAGCATCACATAGAAGCAACCAGATCCTTCTAAAAAAAACTAGTGTCAATGTGTGTTGTTTGTGTTTCTGTCTCTGTCAGGCATTTCATCTGATACGAGCTGTCTCCGTACTGCTGCACTTCACCCGAGAAGAAGAAGACATGCTGAAGCAAACGCTAGAGTACAAGGTTAGTATCACCAACAACTTCAGATTCAACAAACTCCAACTGAGCAACCTTATATGCCTGGAACAGCACCGTAGTTGTATTAACAGAGTGGGGCCCAACCTTTTTTAGCTTGCGATCCTATTTTTACATCACAGATTTTTGAGTAATTTCTGAGAGTTGCCAGATTGTTGAATTTTACATTCCAGTGCCAGCTTAGATATTTTTGGATGCTGCATTTTACTTGAACTAAATGTAAAGAGAGAATACAGTTGTTGAGGAAAGGTGTTTTCTGATTTTATTCCTGATTTTAAAAAGAATAATAATTATAGAAAAACATTTTTTTTATCAATTACCATGTCCGTTTACTGCTTTACTTCTTATCTCCAGATGTCCTGGTTTGGATCTAAGCCTTCTCCTAAAGGGATCATCAGGCCTTCCATCTCAGGCTCTTCAACTTATTGGAGATGATAAGCAGCAGAAAGAGAAAGGACTCTGTTCCTCCATACTAAGGACTCCAGCTTTAAACTGTAAACAACCAGTGACCCCTAGTGGGAAGAACTGTTGTTTTTCTACTCTGTGTGAGGGGCTTGACAAGGGCTGCACAGGTTGTGGGATAGATATATTTATAATGGTTTATTTTTATGGTTACAAAAACAGGAAAAGATGCATCATTCACAATTGAGATCAAACCATTGTATATTTCTCCGGTTGGGAAATGCATATGATCAAGAGAGAAGTCTGATTAAATGCCGTTCTTTTAAATAAAAACAAAGCAGCACAGCACACGTGGTTTATATGAGGGCAGGACATTTGTGTTAGCTGGACAACATCTAATGCTTTCAGCCACTGTTGGAACCTTTAAATCTGTCACATAAAGATTATACTGTAGAGTTAGATAATGAAAATCTTTCTCACTCAGATCCTTACTACATCACACAAACTGACAGATCTTGCCAATAAGGACCTTTAGTATAGAAACCTTGTGGGATCAGAGGTTTTTTTTTTGAACGGGCTGTTGATGCCTACTTCAGTGTTGAAAATCAAAAGAACTCTGCACAGGTGCTGAAAGAAGAAAGAAAAACTAAATCAAAGTGAATACTGTTGATTCTTAATTGACTCTTTGGGTTATAATGAGTGTGTATTATGTTAATGACAGAAGGACTGCCTTTAACCTGCATATGCTGTTGTAAATGAAAGTACATTCCACATGTAAATTTCTGTATAGAGGATGTACAAATGGTATGACATGAGATCTTTATAAATTGGTGGATGTGAGTGGTTTGATGTTTTTGCAGTATTTATCAAAATCAAACCAGCACAGTTGATTGGTTTCTGCTCTAGGTTCTATCTTGACTACCCCAGTCCACAGTGTGACTTGAGTCACATGATGGTGATTTTATTTATTTTCACAAGTGAATAGGCTGCATGCCTGCTGGTAAATTATTTAACACTTGATTACTTTCTTTACAAGCCAGTCCTAACTTTATTCATCACTTTTCATACCAAAATTCAGGAGGTTCTGCTGGATTGGGTTTTAAATTCACTGATTATTGTGAAGAGACATTTAGTTTAAACTTCTATGAACATAATTTCTATAACTTGTTTTTCAAATTTTACAGTATCTCAGAGCAGTGTGCATACACAGTGCGGTCAGGGTTTTCCATAATCCCATAAAATCTAAACTATAACCTTTAACTCACTTGGCTCACGAAGGTTCATGTATTATCTACCAACATGGGATACAGGTTTGCCTGCAGAAAAACATGTAACCACTGAACAGTTCAGTGTGGTGTAGCAGACTCCTGTTTACACAGATACTGAAGTCATGAGGATAATTTAAAAAAAATGCAAATTGACTTTTTACTGCTACAGATTCTAATCTACTGCCCACTGCTTACTTTGGTGATGGGTTAAAAGCAGAGGCTCGGTTTCATTGTATCCCTGTAGTACTGTAAAAAATAAAGACCATGAACAAAACACTCATCCATCAATCAACAATCAATATTTGTCTTTTCCTTGGTATGATTTAACAAGTGCTGCTGATTTTATTCGTTGTTTCTTAATATTAAATACAATATGAGAAAAAGAGGTTTTCATTCATTTTTATTTATAAAACAAATTCCCCCTCAGTAGAATACTCTCTTATTTTTCTTTCGGCTTTGTCCCTTTTATACTACTATCAATATATATAATATAATAATATAATATAATAATTATATATATGCATATGTAATAATTTATATTGGCTTATACTACTGTATATTAAATAAATAAATAAATGCAATAATTAATAAATACTTTATGTTTTAGTACTCTAGAAGAGAATCACCGGAAACTCTTTTTTATGAGCACGCGGTGTGTCCGTCCTTTCCAACTAGGCAGCGAACAGGACTATGGTGAGTAACAAACGCTCTGCAGACAAAATTGAATTATTGCCACCTTACTTTTGTTTGATTTTACTTTTTGTGTGTTCCGTGTATTTGTAAGCTTCCTGAGACTTTTCTCAGCCGTATATCGAAAAGTAAATTGCTTCAGTAGTAGAATAAACCTGAGGTTATAGAACCGTGGTGGCGACTGTCGTCGATCGGCTCCGTATGCTAACAGTATGCTACAGGAGACAGACTGCGCTACATATGACTCTTACGCTTACAGATCTGTCAAACGTTTTTTCAATATACTTGTTGAATTCTTTGAATATTAAAGCGAAGCGATTAAATTTAGGAGAGGTCCATGCTTACATTGTGTTGGATTATACGGATTAATGCTCAAGCCGTATGTATGCTGTGATACGATGGCTAACAGTGTTGGCTCGTGTGGTTAACACGGGTTTTGATGCGAGTAGTATACATGGAAAACGGTTTATAAATAAATTAACGATAGAGTAATGTTATACCCGTGATAGTGCATTTAGCCCACTTAAATGTTTACTGGTAGAGTAGTAGTAAAACTCCGGTGTATGAATGTAGCGATTCTTTGCTAATTGAAGTAATTTAAGAGAAAGGAAATTAAATGTATGTATTCAAAATTGAAAACATCTGAAGAATTGCAAATATGTCACCTTCTCTTGTTCAGGCCAAGATCAAGGCACGAGATCTGCGGGGTAAGAAGAAGGAAGAGCTGCTGAAGCAGCTGGATGACCTCAAGAATGAACTGTCCCAGCTACGTGTGGCCAAGGTCACTGGAGGAGCTGCTTCCAAGCTCTCAAAGATGTAAGTTCAGCTAGAAAATCCCTAGAGATAGTGACACTAACACAGTGGGTTACAACAAAGTGATAATTTGGCATCATGCCATCACGGTTATCCTCAGAAATCAATACATTGAACACTTTTATGTTTAACTTGAGTCCAATTGAAAGAGAATCAATGTTTCTCCTTAATCTGTTTCTTCCAGTTGCTGTACATTTTTGTCTCACAAAACAATCTGTTGTGAAGACAACTGAAACTAATTACACCAGTTGTGGGGGTGCTCAAATTTGTCTATGAAGATCATCCACTAGATTACAGAGAAAATGGGAGGCATTTAAGGAATTGACAACCATTTGCATTAAATACAGGCCAATGACGTCTGTCCTTAACATTGCAGTTACATTTGGAACTGGTTACTTTGGAACCTCCAACCCTCATGTCAGAGTAGGACATGGCAGTGTGCCTAGCCTGACAGTGTGTGGTACACAGAGCAGATTGAAATTCTCTGTTCAACTTTGACACAGTTTGAAGGGATGTGCCAGCTACATAGCGGTTGTGTCAAAATGTCATTCTCCACTTGTCCACAGTTTTAAATAGTGTAGAAGTGAATGTGTTACATTGTATGAAGTCAAAGGCTTCTGTAATTTTGCAAGGTATATTGTATGTTTAATTTAGTAAATATTGCCCCGTTTTAAACTTGATAGATTTTTTTCCCAGGTTATTAAAAAAGAACCACAAGAAAAGTTTGAGGTTTTTTTTTTTTGTTTTTTTTTTTTACAACTTCAAATCTTTCAATGTGACCTAAGACTGTTGTTACATACAAATGTGGAAGTATGAGGCATCTTATCTGCTGTCGTCTTTTTTTTTTATCTAGGTCTTGCTAACTCAACTATTCTCTCTTTACAGCCGCGTCGTTCGCAAGTCCATCGCCAGAGTCCTGACTGTCATCAACCAGACACAGAAGGAGAATCTAAGGAAATTCTACAAGGTGAGAGCAGCGGCAGCAGCAGAATATTTAAAATAGCTGCATGTTTGTTTACACATGTTTCAGCTGCTTTGTACTTGGGCTTTTCCTGTGGTTTGCTTGTCTGAGATGATACTTACCAAGCTGAAGTGTGCTGATGCATTCACAAAAGCTTACCAAAAGACTGAGACTTGATAACCAGGAAGTTCCAAAAAGCACCAACTGTTGTCACTGACCGCAACACTTCTTATGACCAGAATCATTTGTCGGTTCTATGCCTTTATCACAGTAATGGTAGAAGTAGCTTAGGTTATAGGTGGGGATGGGGGGAGAGGTGCGGTGGGGGGAGACTAAACACTGTTTACTAATCACGTTGAAGATGAAACCAATACTTATGCAAAAGAAAGTCAAAGTCTAATTGACAGTTTAGGTATAGGTATGTTATTACTGAGCCAAAGGGTATTTAAAATAAAGGATATAAAAACATTATGAAATTTGGACTTAGTGCTGTGTGGTCTGTTAACTTTTTTTTTTTACTTAAGTGTGTTCCTAAAGTTCTCCAATTATTTGCTCTTCCAGGGTAAGAAGTACAAGCCCCTGGATCTGAGACCCAAGAGGACCAGAGCTCTGCGCCGCTGGCTCAACAAGCACGAAGAGAGTCTGCGCACCAAGAAACAGCAGAAGAAAAACCTCCTCTACTCCATGCGCAAATTTGCTGTCAAAGCCTAGTGGCTTTTTCTATTGACTCAATAAAATTGATGTAAAAAGACTGTCTGCTTTTGCGGTGTTTTGTTTAACAATATCTGGAAATAAGCTGCAACATGATCTGTATCAGAGGACAACTGTAGGGTTTATTTTAGAATCCAACTGAGGGTCGGGTTTGGACAGTTCGGGTGGTCGGATTCGGTTCACGGGCTGCCAGTTAACCACTGATCTATTTTAATTTCTTATAACAGGATTCACCATTATGGTTGCACCTGTATACAAAGTGTTCTAATGTCCCTCACTTTCAACATTCAATCCACTGTTTTACAGTGTCCATATATTCTCTAAAAAACCTTGGTGTCACCACCTGATTACTGCTCTGTACAATCAGAGTGTATCAAGTGACCTTGGCAGGATCCACTGTGTGGAACAATAATCAGAACAAAGTACTTAAAACACTTAAAATGTGTAACTTTATAACAACTTTAACAAATGTGTGTAGAAAAACAACCAGTGTTGTTTGCTGAGGTCTCTTATTAGTCCTCCTGATTGCAAGGATTCTATGAAGTTCTTCAATATCAGTCTGCATGATGAAGTTTGTGGACAGATTTGTTTTAAATTGCTTCTATGTCAAGCATGGGCAACCTCAGGCTCGTTTGCCTTTTTAATCTGGCCCACCAAACTTGTCCAAAATTATGTTACTGATTTCTATTATCATCATACTTCTGCCTTTTCCCTTGGGATGCAGGTTTACCTGCAGAAAAACATGTAACTACTGAACAGATCAGTGTGGTGTAGCAGACTCCTGTTTATACGGATACTGAATTCATTAAGATAATTTAAAAAAAAAAGCAAATGTACTTTTTACTGCCACTGATTCTACTCTACTGTGAAATCCCCAAAACACTCATCTATCAATCAACAATCAATATTTATCTTTTCCTTGGTATGATTTAACAAGTGCTGCTGCTTTTCTTCTTTCTGTTTCTTAATATTAAATACAATATGG